ACAAAACTGCCCAGCCCCAACTCGTCGTGCCGTCGACCCAATTAGGTCGCTCCTGACAAGAACGGCGACGCCCCTAAAGGGGCGACCGGAGTCAGGATTGACCTCGTCAAAACGATGCACGGCGAAGTTGGGGATGCGCAGCGTGTCAGTAGCCGTGAGCTTAGTCTCGCCAAGCAGCACGACATGAATGCCATGCAGCCTGACGAGATTTTTAAGCTCGGCTATGCGCCCCCTGATGCCGCCGGGATTCCAATAAAGGATTTTAAGGTGGAGGGGGGTCTCTGCGAACCGCGGTTAAGGATGAGATGGCGGATGATACCGCCTCCAAACGGTCATTGCCTACGGCAATAGAGACAAGGACGTCACCAAGAATGCCGGTGATCAGCCTGATCAGATGAGAGATGGCCCCCTCGATTCGCTGAGCCGTTTGTGTGTGGTCGGCTGCGGTTGAGGGGGTTTTTCCCTGTGGGAGAAGAAAATTTAGAGGCCGCTCGGACGGCTGAGTGAAGTGGGTGGTTTGGCTGCCTATAGTTGCAGCCGGTGCCTGCCTTCGGGAGGCTGACGAGGTGGGTTGAGAGGGGGATTGTGTTGTTGTTGTTGTTAAGGCGTTGACGCTGCGGTCTCTTGACACGGCGAGCGCTGCTCCGTTTATAGGCCGCAGCAGTGTGCTACTACCCTCCTATCTTCTAACAATATCATATTATTTATTACAATAAAAAAAAAAATATAATTCACTACATTATAAACGTTAAACGTTAAATCTTTTATGTTTACGAAAACTTTTAATCAATAAATATTACAAAATAAAATCAAAGGTTGCTTAATTAAATAAACATATAGATTTGTTTTTAAGCGTAAATTGCTCTCAGGATAATTTGATTTACATGTTAGCCAAATTTAATTATATAATTGAAAATTTTTATAAAATCAGACTAATGATCAATTGCGTCCTTCTTTTTGTTGTGCTCTGTCACCTTTTTAGGGTTCAGATCAATCTTAAAAACAGATAGTGAGACAGTTGAAATTTTCACAGATTATTCTATTGCCGCTATAACAACAAATACTACTCAGAATAAAACATTGTTGAGGTGAGGCTACATTTATAATATTTATAACATTCGTAGGGATGGTACGGAACCCTTCGTGCGCGAGTCCAACTCGCACTTTTCTGTTTTTTTATAGTTTCGGCTACATCACTAGCGATTGAAAGGCTTCGTAGTGTGTCACACTGTGCTCGCTCGGCAGTTCAAAGCAGGGACAAGAGACTCGGGAGTGACTTGTGACCTCTCGATCTGAAGTCGCTCCCAGGTCTCTTCATAGCAACGACACCATCGGAATCTCTCCACCACCTGGACCATTTAAACAAGACAGGCGTTCGACTCCATAACCCATACGTGGCTAGAGAGGGTTCTCGAGCTGTCTTCGAGTTTGACTTGATTACCTCGCTAAAAATCTTTTACCACTGCAATAATGGAATTTGCTAGAGCTCACAGCTCGTGCCATCAATAATAATAGGCCAGCTCTACAAGTACCAAGGCCCAACAGGTGTACAGCGATTGAGTTAACCGAAGCCACGAACTCATGAGACTCGTACCACATCCGCAAAATATGTAGTGTCCTAGTGCATGATCGGCGGTCTTAACTTATCATCAGCTAGGTTACCATTTTTCCTAGTAAAAATATATGTGCCATAGTCTTAAGTGCACAGAAGGAATTGAAACAATTTAATGCAAAATGCATGTAAGTAATAAAAACGCATAGAATCCTAATGAAAATCAATCTCAAAAGAGATTGATGGTGTCAATGTGGGATAGAGCGTTTGATCTTGAGTGATACAACCAAATGAGAAAAATAGACAAATGGGAATTACATGCTCGGCTTAGCAGGCGCTGGTTGGCGCTCTGCTCGGTTTAAAAAGAACTTATTTAAGAGACTTGGCTTATCGCCAACCCTGACACTTAATGGCATGACCGAATTTCAAATGATTCGACATTTGCAACTTACTAGGTTATAATGTTGAAAATTAAATTTTAGCTATTATATTCAAAACCTGTTCCGCACCCAAAAGGTAAAACGGGGCCCTATTGCTAGGACTCCAATGTCTGTCTGCCTGTCTCATGAGCCGTGATATTAAGACAGTTGAAATTTTCACAGATGATGTATTTCTGTTGCTGCCATAATAATAAATACTAAAAACAAACACACAAAAGAATTTTTAAGTGGGGCTCCCATAGATGTTTTTTTTCCGTTTTTATATATAATAGTACGGAACCCTTCGTGCGCGAATCCAACTCGCACTTGGCCAGATGTTTTTAAATATACAACACGTCAATCTATTTATTTAGAAATAAATTACTTTATCACCAATGAAATTTTATTTAGATAAAATTCGATTTAACAGTATGTTTTTTGTTTGCATAGTTTATGAGATAATTTAAAATATGGAATACGGCGCGCGATGGTGGCGTATCGGTCGCTGTATGGAAAGGGCCGGGTTTATTACGTCTATGCGGTAGGTGTGCGCGCGGTAGGCATGAGATATACCTGCAACATTCTATACCCGGCCTCAAAGGTACGGGTATCGCTGTATACCCGGTGCTAAAACCCAGTATCAAAATACCTATAGGTATTAGTTATGTTCAGGCCTCCTTTTGGACAGACTCGGTCGAATCAACCGAATTGAACCTTTGGTTGGAATTGGAACATTTAGATGTTTTTTTAGCAATCATACGCTATAAGCTCCATCTACGTAAAGAACCCTATTACAAAAAAAAAAGTAATTCAAACTAAATATTACTGTTTAACCTTATTACGCAATTATATATCTACCTAATTGTCATAGAAATAAAGAATAAATTTATCTCAATGAATCATTTGGTATAAAATGCTTAAATCATACGTTTCAATTCGGGCATGATCGGGAAGAGCCGCCGTAAGCGTTCGGGGAACTTCGTACCTATTCGGCCGGCGGATTGTCGCGAGCGTTATAAACCGCCACCGTCGGACGAGGCGGCCATATCTATCGGGTATGGAACGGGCCTCTGCCGTACATACCCGGTGTGCGTACTGGTATGTTCATACTGGGTATTTATACCTGTGCCAGTATATACGCCTCATCTCTAGCGTGCGGCTCACTCGCGTGGTCGGCTCCTTACGCAGCGGACGTTGAAGAAATTGAAATTTTCGAAACAACACAACAACACAACACTTTCGACATTGTTTCGACAGATCGTATTATCTCTTTAACCATTCGTTCAAATTAATTATATGCAGTAAAAGGGAAAATGTTAGGTTTTAAACACCTGAGTCGATAAATTGACTTATTTTGATTAGAATTCATAATTGTTGATTATATTCGTATGAGCAATAAACGTGACCTAACAATTTAGATTTTTTTTTAATATGAAAATCTACTGTTTGTGACTTAAATACAAAAGTTAGACGTATGCTATCGCTGACTTTTTTATAGGTATTATCAAGCTCAACAACTTTTCTTTAAAACTCAATCATATGTCTCTCATCATTAAGGTAGCGTTCTTAAGAAACGTTTTCGTTCGACCGTTTTTTCTCCGACTCTTTGATAATCCGACAACCATGAAAAAGACTTTTCATTTTTCTTTTAACATATAGCCGATGACACTCACAAATAACGTGGCTTTCTATTGGTAATGAATTTTCAAAATCAGTTAAGTAGATCCAAAGCAATGTTTGAAATTTTTTCTTTGCTGCAAAGGAGATAACAATAGATGCACCACGCATTGCTTAAAATGTTTAATTCAGTGGTTAAAACGTTTGAGCGCAAATCCGAAAGATGTCCTGGGTTCAGAGGATAGTGGGTTAAAAAGTTACTGATGACCGGCCAGATAATCGTCCCCACTATCTGCCTGGTGGTGCGGGGTACAGAGAACGTGTGGTGAGCGCGAGAACTAATGATTTTCAACTGCTGCATTAAAGATATATTTTCTCCTTAGAAAAATGTTCCAGTTAACACAGAGCACGTACTGAGCCACGGCAAAACTTATGAATTTTGAGATTGAAGCGAGGGGCAATCTACTTCAGAAATGCTTCAAAGAGGCTTTATTCATGTCCCGGCGCTGTAAGGTTAATTTGAAAGGTAAGCGATAGCCGTCATTACCTACGCGCTCATTTCCGGGGCCAAATCATCGCCGTGACAAGGGTCACCTCGGACCAATTACATTGTCGTAAAACTGCTGTCCCCTATAAGCCTCACTTTTTCAATAGATTTTGTTTCCTAATAATTCACATTTCCTGGAATATTTATTTTTTATTCACTGTATTTTGTTAAAATTAAGTTTTATATATAAAAAATTCATAACGTATACAAGCTGATAACAATACAGGGAACTGCTATGCTATTTTTAGCAATTAACGTTACATATTGATGATGAAATATTTTAAAAGCAAGTTTTGTTGCTATAAAAATTATTTTGTAATAAGCAGCAGAAACTCACATATTTAGATTATTTAATAAATCGATTAGTGTATGATCACGCAGGTCTTAATATTAATCAGACCACAAATTTCAGAATCGCGAAGCTGCTCTATGTATATATATATTAGCTAGGTTTGTGTTCTATTTATTTGTGTACGTAAGTCTCTATCTTTAACAGATTAATAATCATAGTATTAATATCACTCTAGTGTCTAATATAGTAATTCACATCCGTCGTGCAAATCACAACTCTCTAGAAACAAGAACATATGCTCAATAGCACTTAAAACATAAGTTGACGTACTTAATAAACTTTCCCTGAATCGCACATACGCAAAGCAAATTCTTTTACAATATATTCAACAATATTAAAAGGATAAGAGGCTCTAATCTATGAAATATAAAATAATCTAACTCTTAAATATGAAACCAAGCATTTTAAAGGTTTGTTCTACTTTATGATTTATGTGATCTAACCTTAGAAGTTTCGAATCTAATACAACCATTAGATCTATATACGGGAATATTGTTTATGGCATATTGAAACATGTTGCGTACTCAAAAGTGCAGCACTCGCTACACCATCAAAATGGGTGAACAATTACGATCATGTGTACTATTAACGTCAATACACTTGGAGTCTGTTGGCGGCGAGAGTCGCCGGGGCGAGAGCAGCGTCCACAAAGCCCTCACCACGCCTGGCGCCGCGCCAACACCCGAACAACGGTGTTCTGGGCACTGCCTGTGAGGTACTTGTGCGAACATTGCAAATGGAAAATATATTTCTGATTTTCTTTATTTCAAAGTTTATGAAGAGAAAAATGTTTAACATACGAAAATATCAACTGACGCAAAATATTAAATACTTTTTATCTGAAGTTTCAAAAATTATAAGTAAATTATTTTCTTATCGTTTAATTTAGCTGTTAAAAAAATGTTAACTCTTTATACATAGTGCTCCGCGGTGAAATTCATTACATTAAAGGGGAGAGAAAAAAAATCTTATCAGCTTAATAGCATGGAGGGACGTGCTCGTGCATTACATAATAAAGCGCGAGAAATTTGTTAAACAGTTAATTTTACAAGTAAAGTTTCCAAATTATTTATATTTTCCATTCAAAAATTCTCAATCTATTCAAAAATGAAACCATTCAATTTTCAATCGGTTTCTGTCCCTATTTCAATATATTAAGAACCCATTCAACTAATGGCATGGCCAACATTTTGATATAAGATATGGTTTAATACCTGATTTCCTGGTCAGCACAGTGGCGTAGGCGCCGTCTTTACTGTATTGCAACTTCCTATTCTTGTATTTTTTTTGTCTAATGCTGCCAAGCGAATAGGCGGTTCACCTGTGTTAAGTGAACACCGCAGCCCATGGACATCTGCTACACCCGAGGGTCGCAGATGCGTTGACAATCTTTTGAAAATTGGGGCCTCACTCACCAGACGAAACGCAAAAGTATTTTACTTCCACTTCTCGCCGGTCGGTCGTGGTACTTACCCGGACGAACCTGCTCATTAGTGTAACAGTCGAGGCTGCTGCGTGGCCCTACCACAGTTACTATTGTTGGATGATACTTTATTAAAAACATTGTAAACCCCTCTGAGTAACTAAACCCTAAGAATTGAAGTAAATGAAATATTTTCGAATCCCAAAACATGGCAAAGAAAAATAGAAAGCACGTAGCGCGGCGTCAACCCGTTAAAACTCGGTCACATGGACGACCCAGTTCGCAGTTGAAGAATCGAAATCGATATGTCTGTTGTAATGTTATATTTAGATTTTTGATTTTCAAATCTACAGGAGCGTAAGAGATCGCAAACAACAAACCTTCAATTCATCCGAAGTGATCACCGCCACCAGTCGATTGCAGTTACGTTCGTAATCTTTAAGAAAGCGGGCCTCGGCTAAATTAAATTTATTATTTCTTTTCTATATTTATATATAACAAATACGCTTTCGTCATTATGATATAAAAAAATTCTATGCTGAGGCTTATATTGTGGCTTCGTTTTCTCTGAAAAGTTAGATAATGTTTACATATTTGCACATTAAACATTGTATGACTTGAGATAAACGGAGAGCCTCGATACCGTTATTGATATACTTACCTTACTTACGTAACCCAAGATGGAAAGCCATTCATAAAAAATAGCTCACCGATATTCGGCATTACCGCCAAAGTAATGAAACCAACTACAAAGCGAACTATTCATAATTAGTTACGTCCCCTGCCTGTTGAGCAACTTAATGGAGCTCTCCAACAAACGACGACGTTGGATATTTGCACAGGCTTTATTACTAACCACTTTCCTCGCTCCCGAATGTTACGTCACCTCAGTTTCAATTGTCACGGTGGGCCTTTTCATTTCAAACTGAACATTCGTCTTACCAAGATTTGTCACTATAAGTCAAGCTGTGGACCGTTTGAAAAGAGTAGGAGCGTGATATTCAATGCTACAAACAAACGCAGTTCGGAAAATGATGTTGTTAAAATAAACATTACAGATTAAAATTGTTTATATTGTTTTAGGAAATATACACGTACACGGAAGGTTGTGGCGCTGAATTAAGCCTCAACAGCCTATGAGGGCACTCATCTCGACGAACGCGGTAGAAAAAGAACAAAGAAAAGAGCTTTTGGATTTCGTCAACCATGAAAAGTTATAAATAGCGCAAAACATTTTAAAATTAGCGTTTTAGGCCAAAATTTAATCAATTAATATCATGGTGATAGCCCACCACATATAAAATAATAAAACGAAGGACTACTCTTCAGCTAAATGTTTTGCTATTGCCATCGTCGGTCATTTAACTAAAGTTTACACACAGTCAACTCTTGAAGACTTGCCTACTGCTGTTTCCGCCATCAATGATGACCTGGCCGCTGTCAGTGAATGGAGTAAAATCTATGGTCTCAACATTAACCCTACTAAGTCCCAGGCTATTATTGTTGGTGATGTTGGCTTGATTTCAAGAGTTGACTGGACTAATCTTCCCTTGGTAAAATTAAATGGCGTTATAATACCGTACTGCATCACTGTGAAAAATCTTGGTGTCCAATTTGATAATTCTCTTTCGTTGGCGGATCAATTGAATCAAGTGAGCAGAAAAACATTTGCTGCGATGGGTTCTCTCCGTCGTTTACGTTCTTTTCTTCCCATAATTTCACCAATCATTATCGTTTTCAAAATACAAAATTAAATGAGATCTTTTGGATAATTATTTATTTATTGAGTAATTAAATTTGTGATATCCCGAATTTCCAATAACTTTTCTGATCACAGGAACTATATTTCTAATCATTGTGACAATATGGTGCAAAAGGTGATTCAGTAAAGGGAATCGAACCGAGTGCAACCCATCCAGCAGAAAGCAGTGCAACAATGCCACGCGAATCATTCCGATTCGCTTCAATAAAGAAATCCCTGAAGCATTTGTAAGCTTACCATCGTGATAAATCGCGAAATATTAAAACTTTTCCACATTCCTGAAAATAATTATTTTTATACAATCTTGATAGACTAATTAATGAAAACTACGTTTACTATTATTTATTTCTTTATGTTTTTACGAAGCGTTACAAACGTTACGTTACGCGAACTAAGTTACGCTAAGGAGCGTGATATGAGTCCCAACCCGCAGATGTATGTAGGGTTACCGGGTTATTGGGTCCCTGACTCGGTGGACTTGTAATTACCCTTTACTCGTGGGAATCATATGGAATCATCGCACAAAAAATGAAACAGATGGACAAATCGCAATCGGACAAGGACAAGGATATGCTTATCGAAATGGCTGAAACGGATGGACGCATGGACCGACGGAGGTCTACGTCAGTAGGAGAGTTGAGTCGGGCGTCTGATAACGTGCCCTCAAAGTTCTTTAGGGACGTTAGAAAGCGCCCGAGAGGTGGAGACAAAGACTCAGAGAGTTTGGCTTCTAGCGAGGACGAGCAGCCGGCGCAAAAAATGCCAGCTGGGAAAAGTGGTTGGGGGCGCATAACGTTTGCGGCTCTAGTGAGGGACATGCGTGGGCGGTTCCTGAAAACCATAAGCGCGCAGAGCGAACGGTCAAGGTCAGCAAGCAGGAGCGGGTCTAAGACTACTGCTGACGAAGAAACAGAGACTGGCGCAGGTATTAGCCTAACGAAGCCTAAGGCTGCACTAGCTGCTATAGAGCGCGCAAATAAAGAGCTTCAGGCAGAAGAAGAGGTGGTGGAGGCGGCGCGCAGGGTCATTTATCAAACATTATGTCTCAGTGAGGTCTCAGCTGATGATGCAGACCAAATGCCTCTGGCAGGTGACCTTCGTGATCTGGTCCTCTCATGGAGATTGTCACGAAGGTCGCTGTTAAATCAAAAAAATTAAAGGGCACGTTTGTGCGCGCTCTTAATGAAGCGGCCTCAACAATAAAAGATGCAGTTGAGACGCTGTCAAAAACAACTTTGATAGATGAAACAAGCAAGTCGCAGGTCCTAGAGTTCCGCAGTGAGTTCACAGCGGTCGGATCTGCGAAGGACACAGGAGGCGCGCGAGGTCGCATCCGTCTATTCACCCCTAGATCCAAAGCTCCTACAGCGCTCTATTTTAGAGGCGGTGGGAAAGATGGTGAACGCCCGCTTGGAGAACCTCGAGGACAGATTGCTACCCGATAAGAGCAGGAAACAGGAACCCCCAGCAGCAGCTGCCACGGAAGCTATAGCTAGCGCTCCGCCACTGACGTCATCTGGATCGTCGTCCGAGTGGACGTTGGACACCTGGCGCAGGCCCGCCAAATTAGGGGCTGGCCCTACGATTGTCGCCCGTTGGCGAGAAGACACTATCGGATCACCGGTACAATCGGTTCAATCTCCTCCCCCTGTCGGATGCCTTCACTAGCCCAAGCTGGACTGCGAGAGGCAATGACCCAAGGTGGCGCCTCGGAAGCCTGCACCGCGAAGGTCTGAAGGAGGCGGCTAAAGTACAGTCCTGGGTTCCTGTGCCCACTAGTTTGGACGTCGAGGAGGAAGTGGAGTGATTCCGGGACGCGATGACGCAGATTTGTGATGCATCGATGTCCCGATCCAAGAATCTCCCTCCCAAGCGTCGGGTGTACTTGAAGAACTTGCGCAATGCGCAGAGCGTGCGTAACCGCGAGACGCCAGTATACTCGATGCCGCAGAAGATGGCGCAGGAACCCTGACTTGGAGGCTGAGCTGTACGCCTCCTTCAGAACGGCAAAGATGACGGCGGAGCGGCTAGGGCGGAGTTCTTGGCTGCATTGGACTGTGATCCATGGTCACAGTCGACGTCAAGCCGACAATGAGGTATCTCGGCCTAATCCTGGATCGCCGATGGAATTTCGTTCCCCACTTCGAGCGCCTAGCTCCAAAAATGGCGAGAGCAGGGGCCGCACTCGGAAGGCTGCTCCCGAACGTTGGTGGCCCCAACGACTCCTGCCGTCGTCTATACACCGGGGTCGTGAGGTCCATGGCCCTGTACGGTGCTCCCGTCTGGGCCGCCACCCTGAATCGCCAGACCATGGTGCTTCTGCGCAGACCGCAGAGGGTGTTGGCTATACGGGGCATACAGGGCTACCGGGAGTACTAGTCGGTGGCTAGACAGGCGTCACGGCACCCTCACCTACCGGGCGACGCAGGTTCTCCCACGTAAAAAAAAAAGGAGCGTGATATGAAACTATGATATAGAACTTACTTAGAAATTCACCACGACATTTTATGTATTTATTCTTTCATCATCATCAGCATTCCTAATTTGTTCTTTAAAAGTAAAATATACAATCATTAAGTTTTTTATAAGTGAACACTTCATATTATTAAAAGTACCCGGAGGACCGAGCTTTGCTCGGCTTGTTTTTTTTTTTTTGTAAATCGTGTATTTTGAAAATTACATTTCGATACAAATTACTGAGTAATGAAATATGCATAATATTTTACGATCTTACCGACGTAATAATAATAAAATATGAACTGGTGTTTTTCACAAAAGAAAGAACTTTAAAAAAAAAGGGAAAAAATAACAAAATCATCTGGATCGACAAAAAATTAAAAAATAAAGAAAGCAATGATCTGGAATCGAAAAAAAGTAAAAAAAAGTAGGTGTGTAAAAAATCGTGATACGAACCACGGCCTCCTGTTTCGTGGCTGTTTGTTAGCGGCCGCCCGATTACCGACCGAGCTATAATTTTTTTTCGGTGAAATTTAGCGTCATATTCGAATGGTATTTTTCATTCCCTGAAAACTGGGATAAAACGACATTTTCTAAAAATGAAACCTTTAGATTTTTCGCCCCCGAATCTACGCACATACTAAATTTCATGAAAATCGCTGGAGCCGTTTCCGAGATTCCAATTATCTATATAATAATAATAAATAATAATAATAATGAAAGAATAATAAAAAAATAATAAAATATCTTTATTCACATAGACGCTTGCGCGTTCTTATGAAACGTCAAAATTTTACAAGAAATTAACACGTTCGTAAGTTACCACCGGTTCGGAAAGCAGTTTCTGTTGAGAAGAAACCGGCAAGAAACTCAACAGTTGCTCTTTTTTTTAAAAAAAAAAAACAGTTTATAATATAATAGTACAGGTACAATAGTCTTGTTTTAGCCTACGTGAGTATCAACAGTATTAACCCCACACATCGGCGTCGTCAAGATATTCGGCTTTAGCCATAAGTTTACTTTTAATTTTTCGTTTAAATTCATCAAGTGGCAGACTTAATATCGACTGTATATATATATATATATATATATATATACAAAAATTGCTCGTTTAAAGGATAAGATAAATGCAGGTACTCGCCATAAACACTGTATCTAGTAAGCCCTCACAAATATATCTCAAATATAATGTCGTGCTAAAATGAGAACTTTTTGACTGATTTAAACAGAGTTCAAGTCGATAGTGCGAGGTTATGATCCCGGAGTTATTTTTAATAAAACATAATTTTTTTTTTAGAATATTAGTTTGATGAAAATATGAACGCTGAGATTTCAATTCCACGTGTCCTTGGTTTTTCTGTCCTCTAGATTTTTACTATTATAAATGACACTAAATAACGAAAATAATCAATGTCATCTGTTCGACAAAAAAAATTGTCGTAAATTAATAAAAAAATAGTAACATAATTATCGGAATGTAGTTTTGTTCATGGTTTATGCAAACATAAAGTATATATTTCCGACTACTGTTCAAAGACCTGCTTTTTAAAGAGGGTATTAGAGCATAGTCCACGACGCGCAACAACTGCGTATTGGCGGACTTCACATATATGTTCGAAATATTTTTTTTGTCATTAACTGAATTGTCATACTGAATAATCCACTATTTTACGTTATTTCTTATAGCTCCACAGCTCTAATGAGATGAATAAAACTAAGTTTTGTAAACAATCGTTTTTAATTTCGTCTCTATCAAAAGAAATTCGACTCATTTTCGATCATTCGTCAATTCTTCGTATAAACTATTATAATAATATACTTTATTTACAGTATTAGTAATAATATAGTCGGTGCGAGGATTCCGCCCTTTCCGATCTGCAGTCGGTAGAGTGGAAGAGAGGGAGAGGTGCGGGAGTCAGCGCGGCGGCGGCGGACGGGGCTTGGCCGCCGCGTACGCTATCTCAGAGAGACGCACGTCTATGGGCGCGCGCTCGTCGTACAGCGTGGGCGCCTGCAGGATGATGCCCGCAGAGCCCACCACCACCGCCAGAGTGAAGATCCACAGGAACAAGCGGTCCAACACCATAGCTACGTACTTCCAATCCTCTTTTACCTAAACATGACAATATATACGTACATCAACGAAGATGCTTAAGAAGACAATGAGTAATATTCTGCGTAATATTTATAGAGAAACAACAACTGGAAAAAACCCTTACCCTAGTAGACTCCTCTTCTTTTCGCGTCTGGTCGGCAATATAGTTGATGCCGTCGATGGCCTTGTGCAGCTCTGGACAGCGATGCCAGCGGCGCAGCGCGTCACAGAGCGCGGGCGCGTCCGCCACCGCGGAGGGGGCGGCGGGGGCAGTGGGGGGCGCAGGGGCGTGCAGACGACACGCGCCAGGAGACGCCGTCTCAGAGCACGTCAGTTCCAGGGCCTCCCGCGCCGCAATGCCCGCGCTAAACAATTGTCAAAGACCATCCTTCATGCGCCCATCGTTCTAAGATTCGATTGCCTTACAATCGCGTAGCAGCGGTTGAGAGAGGGCAGTGACTCACAAGCGACTGCGATGCGGGTCGAGGCGGCAGTGCGGACGTCGCATGACGAGCAGTCTCGGTAGCACGTGTATGAACACTCGCCGAACCCAGGGCGCCATCGTGTGCGTCTGCGGCGAACGGAAGTGCACGTTGAGCACAACCACCGTCACGCAGATGCTTAATGACATACAAGAATTCAAGTAAAGCATCTCGATACGATATCATGGTACTTCTGCAAACTCGACCGTAGAAGTGTCACGGCCTCACAGAAGAGCGGCGAAATAAAAGTATTCATACTTTTGCTTTTGTTCGTTGAATATCTCTGGTGTTGTGAATGTTTATAGGCGGAAGTTCTCTTTTACCATTAGTCGAATCGCTTATATAGAAATATTTCAAATACTATTACTTTACAACATATATATCAATATACTTATGTGTACGGATCGGGAAGTTTCTAAGAAGAGTTACACGGTTGCATAGATTATTAACGTAAAGTTGGTGCGCTGAAGTGCTTTACTAGTACTTTTTCAGTTCGTCCAATAACTAAGATCCCACGCGCCTTTCAAATATCTATCGGTGGCTAAGTTTACGTTCTCTTGCCACTTTTTTCCTTAAAAAAATCTTACAAACGCTACAGTTATGTGCAGAAACAGTGTAGATTTTACACTCTCCTTATGGGATATGCCTTGAATGGTCGGACATACATTTATGTACAGGTTTGACTTTAATTTCAAAAATAATTATTTTATGCAACAATAAAAATATAATAAAGATAAAGATGAAGATGTACCTACCTAAATGTGTCAAGGATCATAGTGAAGAGCACAAACTTTCCCAGTAGTGGAACAACCAGTGACGTAGGCGGGATTATTTCGGCAAGGAGCAGGAAGAACACAGTGAGTGAGAGTAGGATGGAGATGGAGAGCGACACCTTCTCGCCGCTGTCTGACGGTAAGTAGAAGACGAGGACGGTGAGGAACGAGATACCCATGCATGGGATTATCAAGTTCACCGTGTAGAACAAGGTTTTGCGTCGCATGGTGATGTTGAATGTTATATCCAAATACGGCTCGTCACAGCATGTGTAGAACTTCTCGTTCCTGGTCAAAAATATTAAAAAAGTCACGTCATTGTTGTATGTATATATACCTTTATAGTTTTGAGCGTAAATTCTTAAAACATCGCATTCCATTAATTTCTACTTTCTTTTTCATTAATGACAGACCTGACTGCAGGCACTTCAAGTATATCCCATTCTACGGAAGTATAAAACTCTGAAAGGTCAACGCCAAGCTCCACAACATTCGTCCCTCGTGCTTCGTCTATGTGTCTGAGATCCACCTGATGATAAGGATTGTAAATTAACAAATTAATTAATTGACCTTTCAAATGCAATAAAAATAAAAATTAGTATAATCACGACTAAATAAGCCCAATAATTTGTGATTTATCGCCTTCACGGTCAATATCACTCACCAAATCTCCAAATCTTTCTCGGTCTTTCCCCTGCCAACCAAGTACAACTAAACACTCGTCTAGTCACATTACTTTCATCCCTTCTATATATTTTGAATGAGTTAAATTTATAATTTAAAATTAAGGACAAGGATACCAAACCTGAAATCCATCGTAAGTCCAAGAGCCAAATTTCATGACACACGTCTGTTGGTCGAATGGAAAGTATTCCACGTCAATCTCGCAAGAAGATTTATAAATGGCGGGCGGACGCCACTCCACGCGGCCCGTGTAGTTGAGCGTCGCCTTCGTGGCCAGCGTCACCTCGAAGTTGCCGTCGGCACTGTGTCGTGAAACACACCGAGTTTCTCTTTCATCTTTCACGAAGCAAATAACACACAAACTTCCCATTTCCATATACTGTTTTCATACTTATGTATATGAAATTCTCACTTAAGCTTACAGCGATTATAAACATATCCTTACTTGTTATATAGTACTATGTCGGGCCTCCAAATATGATCGGATGGCACGTGAAGCATTTCAACACCTCCGTATTCTCGAGGCTCCCAAGACAACTTGTAGTCATACCAGCTCTGCAAAATGAACACAATGAATGCTTTTACTTATAGCTCTACTTTGATTATGAGCAATCAATTACTGATCGTTAAACAAACCTGTTCCACCCATAAATTTGTTGTCATAATCTGATTCTTAAGATTCTGTAAAACATAATATAACATTATTACAGTAAAGCACGAAAGCACTACATGCGATTACAGTATAGGCAAAACTCACGACATCAATGAGCTGGCTGAGTTTAAGCTTGATTCGCACCGTGAGGGCGTCACTGACGTTGAGTACGGGACGCACCAGCTTGTTGTAGTTGCTCAGTAGGTCGTCGTACAGCCGCTTTGCGTCCGGGTTGCCGGCACAACCTACGGCAGGGTTACTTCTCTACAACCACGTTCCCATATGTCCTGTGCGCCTACAGAACTTTGCTTCATGGATGTTATAACGTATCGCTTTGCCGATATTCTCTAGTTTGGTGTTGGGATGAAGGTATATTTTTCAGGTAATCATTGACCTCCTTCAAGCGTGCAAGGGCCCACCAAGTGGTTCAAGACGCCTAAGTACTTAAAAGCCTCCTCTCCGATGTCGAAGATTATTGGAAAGATTTGGCGAGTTGTCATGAATCGGAATGGCATCAAAGGCCTCTTTCCTACAAAACCTGGTGTTACCTTACGAACTTTTTTTACAACGCAAACATCTATTTGAATAAAAATATTTTAAATTTTGAATTCGAAAAAGGCTCAGTATCATTGGATAAGTTGGTCGGTTGGTCGGATACGAAAAGATTTTAGTATTGGTTGTAAGAGTTCCGAACCAGCGAGCAGCATCGCCAGGAGCAGCGCGGAGGCCGCGTGGGCGGGCGGGGCGCGGTGGCGCATCCCGCGCGCATGGCGTCAGCGCATCGCCCCGCCGCCTTGCCCGCCAGTCCAACGGCTGCACCAAACAAATAGGTACCTGTACAATCCGATCTAATATTCCTACCCTCAGACCGACGAAGTCTGATAAATAAAACGCATGTGTGTAAATACATTAAATGCAATTGATAACTTTTTATTTAAATAACTTTGAATTATTTTTTTTTTTTTTTTTGCATTTGAACCAATGGTTGACGCATCCATTGATATATTTTTTTCCAGCATGCAAACAATTTCCATTATCGTTGTAAAACGATATTAATTTTTGATTAAATTGTATTGTAATAAAAAAAAGCAATGGCGACATCTCTCGTTCGAATTGACAATGTACATAAAAGATCTTAAGATTTTCGCCGGTGTGGCTATCAGCCGTTTAGCTTAGTGGCTAAAGCGTCAGGTCGCGAATGCCGAAGACGTGGGTTCAATTCCCACAGCGGCGACAATCTTTTCGTACTTTTTCTACGAATTTAAATGTTCAATCTTAAGTGCAGAGATTAGCACTATAAAAATTTAAATTATTGGTAAATGTCAAAAATTTGTTATTGGATCCCATGGTAATGCCGTGAAGTTTGTTTCTTCATTATGTCGCTTTTTGAGGGTTGGTGTGCGCGCGCATAGTAAAAATTTTATTATCACATTTTTACAAGCGCGCCAAAAGAATAATAAATTCTAAAATCGGAATTTTACCGTACTAAAATAAATATCTTTCGTATCTTTAAAATAATACTTAATAAACCTTATATAAGTCACTATTTTATAAAAGTCACTATTTTTCGCAATAATTAAATTGATAATTGATATAAGAAATAGTTTAATAAAATGAAATACTCCATTTGACAAATAGTATGGATTTGATTCCTTCTAAGCGCTAGTCGGCGCCTCTTACGAGCGGCATGACTCGAAATAACTACTTTTAATCCGTGTATTTTGTAATTTGAATCCATGATACGGTGCGCATTGATATATAGAATTAGATGACCACGGAAACTGTAATACGATCCGTGAAATAGTAGTGAACCGTTGAAAATAAACAGTTTCTTATCTTTATGGTAATTCTTGCAAACATGCCCTTTCAAATTCCACTTTATCCGAATAAATAAAAATACAGGAACAAATTAAAATGAAATAAAACGCATTGTAAG